GAGAGATCGACCTGCAGCTTCAGCAGCTGCTGCAGCGTCTCCGAGACGTTCACGTAGGCGGCCAGGTTGAAGGAGCGCTTCAGCGAGGGCCGGATGTGCGCCACCACGGAGACGTTCTCCTCGGAGACGAGGTCCAGGGCGTTGTGTCTGAGGTAGTGGTGGTAAAAAAGGGTGTGTAGATGTTCGATAACGAGTAGAACGCTCTTCAGCGATTTTACCTCGGAAGGTCGGCGTCCACCTCTTTCCACGTGTTGTTGTTGATCGGCTCCAGATCACCACTTCCACCGAGATCAACTGGTTCAGCTGAACCGACGACGCCTCCGGAGCTTAGAGATCGAAAGAGAACGCCTCTTCTAACAATAGACTGGTAGCTTAGCTGCTCTCTGAAGCACGTCCGAAGACATGCCCTGAGGGTGAACATGTTTTTGTGACCAGATCTCTTGATCAACACTTGATCAACACTTGATCCGCGGTGCACACTTTGTTTTGATCGGCGAAAACACACGCTGCTCTGCGCGCACTCAGTTTACACAGTGCCAGTTTACACCGTACAAGAGTACCGTTTTGTTAAAGTTATTTTCCATTTATTTAGGGTTGTCGATAATTAGGGTATAAAAAGAAGAAGAAGTAACAAAACGAAGTTCGTGCAAGTGCTGACAAGAGAGAGAGGAAGAGGGAAATGAGGAGGTGAAAACTTGGCAAAAGAAGGAATAACAACAAAGGAGAAGGAGGAAGAGGTGAGTGAGTGAGTGCGTGAATCAAGCAGATCAGTAGTGGACTTGTGTTTCTAGCGGCGGTTATAACACCGCCTTGAGCAGGGGCAATGGAGTAAAGAAAGGACAAGAATAAGGAAAGAAAAAGCTACTAGAAAAATGTAAAGAAAAAAAGAATTGTGTAAAGCCTAAGAGTAAGAGTAAGAAGAAGTAGAAGAGGAAGGTCATTCAGCAGTAAACTGATCAGTAGTGTAAGCGGGGTCAGTGAAAGACGTCAGAGTGCTTTTGTTTTGTTTTGTTTTGTTTTGTTTTGTTTTGCAGTTTCCGCAATTCCCTTATGCTTTCAAGAGTATTTTTTCCTTCGGTGAGTTGCTGCTGCCGCTGCCNAATAAGGAAAGAAAAAGCTACTAGAAAAATGTAAAGAAAAAAAGAATTGTGTAAAGCCTAAGAGTAAGAGTAAGAAGAAGTAGAAGAGGAAGGTCATTCAGCAGTAAACTGATCAGTAGTGTAAGCGGGGTCAGTGAAAGACGTCAGAGTGCTTTTGTTTTGTTTTGTTTTGTTTTGTTTTGTTTTGCAGTTTCCGCAATTCCCTTATGCTTTCAAGAGTATTTTTTCCTTCGGTGAGTTGCTGCTGCCGCTGCCGCATCAACGCTGTTTTCCTGCTGCTGCTGCTTCAAAACAGCGGCACTGTCCGGATGCTGCAACAGCTGCTGCTGCTTCAACTGCCGCCGATCCTCGACGACGCTGTTATTTTGGTGCTTCCACCGGTACCAGAGGACGCAGGCGGAGATGCAGAGGATGCTGAGGACAAACTGAAAACGACAGAAAAGGAGAAACATAAACATCCGAAGCAGCATGAAAAGTAGACAAAACACCGCGCGTGAGTACCTGTATAAAGAGCCAGCAGAGAATGTTCCAGAGCTGTGTCTGCGCAAAGATGCGCAGGCCAAACTTGATGCTGACCAGCGTCTCGAGGAGCATCACCGCGAGGAAGAGCCAGCACTGCGTGCCCACTCGCTTACACCGAACATCGGTGATGTAGGTGTAGTACTGGCGGACGGAGGGGGCGACGATGAAGCCGAGCAGGGCGATGCGGTAGGTGTTCAGCGGGTGGCCGGGCGGCATCTCGAAGATGTGCTTCAGGAAGAAGGTGTTCAGCTCGGTCAGCTGCCAGCTGATGACTAGCGCCGTCACGGCGAGGTAGCGCGAGTAGGTGTTCGAGGGCACGAACCAGTGAATGGGCGTCCAGCTCTCCGGCGAGAACTGCAGGATGATGCGGCGGATCTTCTGCGAGGTGGACTGGATGTCCCTGGAGGAGAAAAGATGGGTTAGCTAATTTGTAAATAGAACCCCAAGTACAAAGCTCACTTGATACTCTCCCACTGGTAGGTGCGCATCTCCAGGAAGTAGCAGACGTACATGCCGCAGGCGATGCCCAGCCCGTTGCAGACCAGCACGTCGAGCACCCAGCTGTCCCACCAGCACTCGGCAAAGTTGGGCAGCAGGTGGGCGAAGGCCACCTCGGTGATCTCCCACGTTACCGAGATGGTCCAGCAGAGGCCGTAGTGACGGACCAGCAGCGCCTTCATCGCCCAGCCGAGAAAGTGCGCCAGCGCAAAGACGTCCATGTGGTCCCAGACGCGCTCCAGCGTGATGGTGCTACAGTTGATGGCGTATTGCTATTGGTGGTAGAGGTGGCGGAGGTGATGATGCAATCGACAGGTAATAAAAACCCAAACAAAATTCACTCACCTTCTCCGAGTCGATCTTAAAGTCCCGTAGATCAGGGTAGAACCAGTAGAGAATGGCCTTGATGGTGCCGTAGTTCTGAAAGAGTATGAAGATGAGCGCCAGCGAGTAGAGGACGCTGACGCCAAAGACGAGGCGCCAGAGGGCGGGGTGCGGCCGCGTGAAGGGCCCATTGGGAAAGGCGAGCAGCGAGACGACGAGGAAGAAGAAGAGAATGCAGCGGGCCGCCGACCAGAGGTTCCCCTCGTAGTTGGAGTCATCGCGGGTGAAGGCGGTGTAGAAGACGGCGAAGAAGGCGGTCACGAGGAGGGTGATGGTGTGCGGCTTGTAGAAGAACTCCAGCGAGATGTCGTCCACCGGGCGCTCGTTGATCGCGTAAAAGTGGTGGTTTATGTCCCGCACCGACAGTGATGCGGCTGAGGAGGAGGAGGAGGAGGTTTGCTGGCGTTCTTCCTGAGGACTAGTCATCGTGGCTTCGATTTCTGTTCCTCCTTCTTCTTGGCCCTCTTCAGTTTTGGGACTCATTCACAGCAGCAGTTCAGGTGAGTGATTCCGCTTCGGTTGTTTGTTGAACACATTCCAGGCTAATATTGCTACTGCTTTATGCTATTGAAGTTTGTTTCTTTAAATTGTGGACTAGATTGGAGTGAGGTTCATGAAGAGACGAATGACTGGCTGGCTTGTAGTGTATAGGTACAAAGGACTCGGAAAGTGAGGGGCGCCAAATGCAAGTGAGTGAGTGAGTGATAATGCTGTGGTTGTGGATGAATGATGATATTTAGTTGAGGAAAATGCTTTGATGATGAGGATGATGATGAAGTAGTGACTTTACTGTTTTGTATCTGCTGCTGTTGACTGAGAGTTTGCAAACAACAACAAATTAGCGCAAATTCTCTTGTTTAAAGCGGTTTGTTACGACCACCACCACCACTACTGCTGCCGATGTTCTTCAATTACTGTTGATGAGGAGGAGGAGGAGGAGGATGTTGAAGATCGCGTGCGGCACATTCACGAGGAAGAAGCAAAAGAGCGGCAACGGCAGCAGCAGCTACTGAAGCAGCAGCAACAGACGACGACGACGGCGACGATGAAAGAAGTGAAGGTTGCGCACTACCACCACGACCATCACCATCATCCCTCATCATCATCCTCCTCAAACGATATCGAGGAGAAGGTGCATATCGTGAGAGAAAGAGACAGAGACAGTGTAAAAGAAGAGAGAGAAGCAAAGACTGCTGTACCAAGCGTCGTGAGGTGATCGGTGTGCGTGTTGTGTTGTGCTGTTGTACAGTTGTCTGTACGGCAACTATACAGGGGAAGAAGAAGAGGAGGCCAATCAAGTCTTCCAATTTTCTTTGGCGCATGAGAGAGGAGAGGAGAAAGTGGAAAGAAGGGAAAAATAGAAAACAACAAAAAATGCAGCAGCAGCAGCAAACAACACATCGAGAGAGGATATATCCACACTACTGAAAGACACAGAGAGAAGAGGACGGATTTGAACTAGCAAGTGGCCGCAATTTCGAAACTTCGCTCTCTTTTTAGAACTGTGAAAACTGCGAAACGTTGCGCGGAAAGGGCAGCGGCGGACCGGAGTTGTGGGGCGCCTTCGAGTAGTCGTACTTCACCTGGGGGCGGTCCCAGTTGGGGCCGTACTCTGGGGTGGCGAGGAAGAATTCGAAATTCAAAAACGACGATTCAACAAATACTCGAAAACTCACCAGCAAGGATGACCTCCTCGGCGGTGCAGGGCGCCAGCAGCTTCCAGCCAAGCAGCTCCACTGAACACAGTGAGTATTGCGGGTAAATCGAGTACTGGAAGATGTGCTTCCAGGCGACGTGAAAGGGCATCATAAAGTGGGTGGCGTTGGAGTACGTGAAGAACCTACAAGAAAGATTAATGAAACAACAACCAAACAACAGCGCACCAACAAAGATGTTCTACTCACAGGTCGACCTTGTCGCGATTGAACCTGGTGGCAAAGGAGTACTCGGCACTGCGGGTGGCGTGGCTGCCAAAGCGGTACAGCAGACGGAGGCGGTGCCCGGGCGCCGCCTCCTTCAGCGTGGCGGTCATGTCGAAGGAGCCGTTTCCTCCCCCTCCTCCTCCTCTTCCTCCTCTTGGTCCCTCGAGGTACTTCGGCCAGGTGCTGAAGTCATTGTCGGTGGTGTAGGGAATGGGCGCGCACTGTCGGTGCCAGCCCAGAAGCGTGCCGCACATGGCCCAGAACTCCATCTTCAGGCGGCGCATCAGCGACTTGATCGCCCCAA